GTACTTAAAATTTAATGGCAATCTTCATTTATTGTAAGGCAAATAGCGAAAGTATCTCTCAGTAAATATTTAATATGATATTAAATATGAATGAGCCTAGTAATATGTTATTCAAAATATGTTATTCAAAATTTATGTAACTCGTAAAAGACTAACATTAGACCAAGCATATAGAAATACAAGTTTTAGCAGTAATACATTTATTATAGTGTAAGCAACGATGAAAAATTATTTTTTCAGATAATAAGGAAAAGTATCTCGTTCTAATAATAATAAAATCAGTTCTTGCGTTTTAATTTTCTGGAAGACCCATGTATGTGAAACTAATTTTAAAAAGGCAATTTTAAAAGAATGAAATTAAATTTCTGAAAATACTATAATAATAATTATACTGTCGAAAGGCAATTTTAAGGATAATAAATAAATAAATTTTCTTGCTTTTACATAATCAAATGTGTATATAAATTTAAACGAACATATTTTTCATTAGATTCTGGATATTTGTGAATATTTTCATAAAAAATATGATTATTAGATTTCGAAATTCAATGCGCTAATTAAATTTACAAGAATACCAAAAATTATCGATTTTAATTGTATATTCACTATTACTTAATTAGAAATTTAATTTAAAATTCCATAAATTGTAAGAACTAGCATCTAATTATTTGAAAAAATTTAGATTAAGAACATTTAAATCTTTTCAAATTAAAATTGTACGTAGAATGAATGTATATATTCGAGTAACGATTAGGTAAACGTTCATGCCCATGTTTTGTAGTCACCAACGTCTCGTTTTGTTCTCCTGAATCTAGTGATTATCAACACCTGTTAAATGGTACTAAATTGAGTTTGTTAAATAAGATTTTCCTAATTAATGAATGCTTAGGCTAGGTTGACTAAGTCTTTTGATTGAAATTACACCAAAATTTCTATTAAAACTTAATTTCCTAATTAAGTCTTAGACTAACTTAGAATCCAATTATTCCAAACCTCCTGATTGAAACTATTAAATTTTTTGCATTTTCTAATAGAAATACGTAATAAATCAAATTATATGTTATGATTAAATGATTTAATTAAAATGGTGTCTAATCATGAAATTGTGTGACCTAAAAAGTGAATCTTTTCCCTCTACACTTCACAATAAGTGAAATCATTCATAAAATCTGTAGAGTAATGCTTATGAATATTCTGAAAAGTTTTTTTACTGTTATAGTCCATTATTCTTCCACATAGGACTAAAATCTTTCAGAAACTCTTGATTTGTGATAGATCTACGTGACTTGAATCCAAAGATACACAAATCTGCTCTTTTATATTACCTTTAAATAGTATATAAGATATTAAAATACAAAACATATTACGCCCTACAATGGTATGCAATTAGTGAAATAGAATACATAAATTGTACAGTTAGTGAAATAGAAACTTAAGATTAGCACTGACATAATTGAAAATTAGGTTGAAAATTCCTAGAAATAAGATCAAAATTAGTGATAGTTTATTCTTAATAAATATTTATATTTATAGAAATTTGTATATATATTCATATTCCAACTTTTAGTATTTCACTGTTACTATTGAAATAAACTTTTGCTTGAAAAGAAATATGTATTTTCTTTCCACTTTTTAAAAGAAATTGAAAAATATTATTAAAAAGTGTAAATTAACGAAAAATATTTTGAATTAATGAACTTAAATAATTAATAATTTGTAATTTATCATTGACCACTTATTATTTAAATTATTACATTTAGAAAACGTAAATATATGCTAAAATTGTTAATATGTATATACCGAAAGTATTTAAAAAATGTAAACTATAAACTTATTATTTAATATAGTTATAATTATATATGTAGTAAGAAACTTGCTTAAGACTGATTGTCATATATTATTTTTTACATGTATATTGTTATTACCCTAAAAATTGTAAGATTCTTTTCTTAGTTTTAAAATAATACAATCTATTGATTACATGTTTTTATGGATTGTAAAAAAAATTCGTAATAAAACTTAACAAATTAAATTTATTTAATAAATATATACTTATAAATTAAATTACTTTTTCAAAAAAATATAAATTACAACGATATTTATTAATATTTCTGAGTAAATTGAAGTTTGGAGTTTTTATAATCGAGATAATAACATAATTTTTTATTTGTATATATATGAAAAGTAGTTTTTGAAAATCTGTTTATCAATCTGACACATCAATACGGAATGGGATGAAAAATAGTTCCAAAAGTAAAACTATATATTTTCAAATCAAACATAAAATTTATCTTATTTGAAATATACATGGACAACCGACATTGTAAAAAATCTACATGTAAAAATAAATAAAAAAGAATAAAATTTTTCCGTCGAAAACTTCGTTTTCAAAAAAATCGACTTTGAATATTTCTTAAATACACTTGAATAAAATAACTAGAGAATTAGACACAAATTTCTACGTGAGAAAATAAATAAAAAACATAGAATATAATTTTTTCATAAGATATTTCGTTTTCGAAAAAATTAAATTTAAGAATTTATTAACTACTAAACAATTTTTAATGAAATATATTCAAAGTCTATTTTTTGAAAATGAAACCTTAAACGAAAAAATTTTATTGTATATTTCTTACTTATTTTTGCAAAATATTGTGCCGACTATTTTTGTCCTCTATGGAATTGGTTAAATTTAAGTATACTTGATAAATTTTCAAACTCGATTTTCTCACAAAGATTTTGGTAAAAAAATCTCATCCTAATAATCAATATCCACAATTAATACACTTAATAATCAATATTTATATCTAATTTTCTATTATTATATGACAGAAAATAAAATATTTTAAGAAAACAATAAACAAGACCAATAAACAAACACATCTAATTTAATCCACAGTTCACAAATATATTTAATTATATACAAAACAGGATTAGCATACAGAAAAAATTAGCAAAAAATACAACTTTTTTTGTATATATTATTTAAACAAATAATTCTTTTCTAAAAAAAAAATGTTTTATATAATTGAGTTCTTCATTCCATAACACTCAATTGCAAAAAAAAAAAAATATATAAATTCCAAAATATTTCACAAAATTTTAATTCACAACTTTGAAGAAGAAATATTCATGTCAAATGTATTTTAGAAGACTTATTTCCCACATAAATTTCATTAAAATCGTGTACAAACTCAAAATATTTACAATATCAATGTTAAATATACACAGCAATAGATTATTCAGGGACAATAGATATCAATGATAAATCCATTTTAAATCTGCTGTGGCGTAATATCGTTTTATTTGAAATTTACTGTTTTTCCTACTTCAACAAAAATATATTAAAATATATAATCCATTAAAATAAATAAAAATGAAACAAAATCAGATACGTAAAAAATATAGGAAAAAGAACAATCACTACAGTCTCTTTTCAAACTGATAAAATAGTAAAAAGATTAAAAAGAAAAAAGTTAATTGAGAAAATGAAAAATTAAATCAAATACAATAATAGAAAACAAGTGAAAAAAATGAATTCAGATAAAAAAAACATCAATCATTTTATTAAAATGACCAAAAATTTAAAAGTGCATATATTTGCATTAAAATATCCCTAATAAATAATCTTAAATAATTGAAATTTGTAACTTTCACTTTAATCAATAGTAATAGAAATTGTATAAATTGTATGTATAACTGTATGTATATTACTTTTTATTATCTTATGTGTTGGTCTAACATACATCTTATCGAAAAAGATGGAAACGGAGAAAATTGTTTATAGCACTACCAATGATATTGAAATATACATATGACATATCTGTGACATATCTATTATTTTTTTTTTTAATAGCTATAGACAATTCAATTATAAATAATTTTCAATGGCACAATTTGGTGTGATTTTTTTCTAAAATTCTTTAACCTAAAAAGATATAAGCAATTGAGGAATCAGTACAAATTGACAACAGCGTTTAATCGTTTGTACTCATGCGCACGACTGTTTCATTCGTATGTCGTCATCAATAGTAGGTCATCGCACTTTTCCTCATTCCCCCTTATTCTTTATCATCGTATACATATAAAAGTAAAAATTATAATACTATCTTTAAACAATATATCGATAGACATGAACAATTTTTTGATTAATAAAATCAAAAATTACGTTATATCATGTTTAATTAAAAAGTGTTTTCTACATGTTATAACAATCTTTAACAATACAAATACAATAAAAAGCACACATTAATGTAATAATTTAATGTAATGTAATAATTTAAACTATACATAAAATATAACTGTTAATATTCCTCTATAATTTCTCTTTTTCTTTTTTCATTATACGTATACCCTTCGTCGTATGATATTATTCATATTTTGTTTGATGAGATTCACGTTTTCTTGCATACTTTTTTTTTAAACTAAATATTTTTTCAAATATTCATTTTTATAATCCTGTAATTTGAATTAGCTTTTATTTATTTCTACATACTATCTATATACGAGTGTGCGCGCGCATTTTAAAAAAATATCAAATATAATCATAGATAAATTTGTTTTTCATAAAATTTTTTTCATAACTTTATGTAATGCAGATATAAAACAAAGTCATGTATATATAAAATCTTTAACATTGTAACATGTAACAAATAAATAGACCTAATGTATAGCGAAAAAATTAACAAAGTCAGATATTTAATTAGTTATTATCACTAATTATATATTTTATATAAATACATTATAAATTGATAGATTAAAATTATTCTTTGAATAATAAAATTTCAAAATTGTTGTAATTTAATATCGTAAATTACTAAAAATAATTCTTTCTTTATAATATTATCAAATGAACAATATATTGTTACATAACCTTACATATTAAATTAAGACAAATTCTTAATTAAGATTTTATTAAAATCTTCCATTTGTTATTCAATATTAGTGATAGTTAACAAACCTAAAATATTACTGTATACGAATTTGTAACATGTACTTACTTTATAAACTTGGCCATAGGTTCCATTTCCAACAACTTCGATTAATTCAAAGATACCTGCAGGTTCCTACAACATATGCACATATAAGTATATATATATGTACGTACAATTTAATTATTACAAGTTATATTTATGTATTATGTTTTCTTGCATCATGAATATAAGTTGCTTTTTGAGCAATACTACCACATTCTGTTCTTAACAATATTTATCACATAAATAGAACATAATGTCAACTGATTATTTTCATATACTAACATACTATTAAATGTTTTGGTAGGTTCTCAGAACTACAGAACTATAGAATTTAGAACACTTCAATATATTATTAATTTAAGCTGTTCAGATTTATTTGATATGCATGTGTCATGTGTCTTTAATTCACATTTTATAATAAAAAAAAAAATCAATTGGTTTTTACACCAATGGACATAATATGATATTAAAAGAAAAAAAATATATAATGATAATCATATATAATCATAAAACTATTATAATCATAATTATATATTTATTTAATAATAAGTTAATTCTTAGATAATTTATATAAATCAGTTCAAACTCTAAATCTTTTTAATTTGTTATTTAACAGGTACTGCAAACAAAAGTTTAATGAATCTATATTCTCTTATTTCCTTCGTACCATGGTATGACCAAGTAATAGAAATCATCGTTTATTCTTATGAGGTTAATTATTAATTATTGAGTGAATAGAAACTATGAAGGATAAACTTCTGTATAAACAAGTATTGTTAAATATTAGGCCTATACCTAATAAATGAAATACATTAAAAGGTGTTACGTACCTTCAAAGCGTTCAGATCAATGTCGTCGAGCGAACAGTTGACGCTCGGTGCCAAATTATGCGCCATCTTGATACGCCACTTGCGCTCCTTGCGAGATATCTTTCCTATTTGAGCTCAGCAAATCCACTGTCTATCCCCTTTTCTGCTTCTCCCGTTATTGTTCTTATTATGACTTTCAATTTAAACCCGACAAAAATGTGAAAATATAGAAAGAAGGAAATTATTCTCCGCACTTGCACTAGCACAAAACACCAGTATCACTAATAGAAATTTTTATTAAAATCATTCACCGGTAACTAGTTGCACGAATATTTTTATGAAAATTTAACCAAGTATGATCGAAAGAGAAAGGAAATATACAAAGAGCAATGGCACATGGCGTACGAAAAAACTGTAACGATCAACGAAGAAACAGTTTACCAATCAGATTAGAAAACAATGCACTTCCATTATGTTATCGCCAAATTTTTCATGAAATATAAATGTCAATAACGTATAGTGGCAAGTATTACACAGTCACAGCGCTAAGCGCTGGATTATTGTATCGTCATAACGGATGCGGTACAACCGAGCCGAGCCCAAACACCACGGCAGCGGCCGTTCTATGTCCTGTCGTACTGCTTTGATGCACGCCTCTATTCCCTCCCTCTCCCGCCTTTGCACTCTGTTACTATCTTTTTTATTCTTAAGCGTGCGCACACATGCTTTTCTGTTCTCTCTTCTTAATACAGACAATATTTTCACCGTCTTTGTTTTTCGTGCGCTATGATTGTATACCACTATACTTCTTGACGTCATCCGCCGAACTATGATGGCGGCAGTACTTCCCTTCCTAATTTTCTTATCATAAAATAAAATTAATCAAAAAATTATTTTACTAATGTTCTATTTTTTTCATTTATAATTAATAAGTTTCTCCATAATAATTAATAAGTTGTAAGAATATTTTATATATTTCATAAATGCGTAATATTTTATAAATATATAACACTGTATTTGAGATAAAATAGAAAATCTAGATAATTGAAAATTAGAAAACTGGTTTTTTTTTTTTGATATAGTTTAATTCGACTTTAATATCTTTCAGTAGCATTTCAATACATATAAAATGTAATAATAAGTAAATATTATAAAAACAATATATTTATATTCTTTTTTTAACATATTTATACAGAGTAATTTATATTATTACTATAGTTATTTTAGAAAATATGACTTCTATATAATAACTAAATTGCAGATGCTTATCCACGTAAAATATGTAAAACACATATGCAAAATATGCAAAAATATACAAATAAGTAAAATATGGAAAATATATTAGTAATATACGTGTTTTAGGTTTTTCCAGTTAAATGGTGCGAGTTATGTGTAAAACTTTTAAAACATTGTTATATAAAACGAGCTAAATTTTGTTACTACAATATACAAATGTAATACCGTTTGACATAGAAATGTTCTTTATACAATATAGTTTCATTTATAATAAATTATATGCGATACAAAATTTAACAATATATCTGGCAATATTATATTTATTCTAGCATGCTATACCAATAGTCCAACAGAACTACTAAAATGATCAAAATACAACTATTAACGGTTTGATGTGATCTTCAAATGATACCGACTAGATACGTGCTATTATTATTGAAACTCCACACCGGTATGAATCGTAATTACAATATGCACATATGGATTATACATTAAAATTCTCAATTTTCAACTTTGATCGTATAAATACAAATTTAAAAAAATATATAATATATATAACGACATATGCTTTTAATATGCAAAACATGTAAAATAAAAAATATTTCATTTAAAAAATATATTATATAAATCAATTTTTAACATATTTAAACAACATAATGAATTTCTATTTCTAACTTCCATATCTTTATCTTTTTTCTTTAAAAATATGCATTTGCAGTCTAATAATAACAAAAACTTCCAGTACTTATCGTATTTGTATATAATTTTATAATCAATTTTATCATAATTAAACACAAAACATTATTATTTACTACATATACAATATAAAATATAATTGTATGGTATTCTAATTATACAGGTATTTCGTAACTTGTGGAACCCACTTCGGGAGCTGATTGTACGCCTAAAAATAATGAAAAAAAGTCATATAAATATATGTCCTATCTGTCTTCATTTATGACATATAATGAATTTTTCTGTTTTAATTACTTTTACAAAAGATGCTCGAAATGACCACCTTGCATTTGAAAACAAACCTGCATGCGTCTTGTCATTGATGTGGTTACTCTCTCTATCATTCCTGGTGTTTCTCGAATTTATCGGAAGCCTTGCTCTATTTTATTTCGTAGTATTTCAGCATTTTCAATCGATGTTGCGTATACAATAGATTTTAAATGTCCCAACAAATAAAAATCTAATGCATTTAAATTCGGAGAATGAGCAGGCCATGCAATAATACCTCCACGATCAATCCATTTATTTGCAAAGTGTTGATTTAAAAATTGCCTAGCCACTCGGCTAAAATGCGGCGGAGCTCCATCATGCATAAATCGCATACCGCATTTTAAATCAACAGTGCAAATAAATGGATTGATCGTGGAGGTACCAGATCAATGACAAAACGCGTGCAGGCTTGTCTTCAAATGCAAGGTGGTCATTTCGAGCATCTTTAGTAAAAGTAATTAAAACAGAAAATTCATTATATCTCATAAACGAAGACAGACAGGACATATATTTATATGACTTTTTTTCATTATTTTTAGGCGTACAATCAGCTCCCGAAGTAGGTCCCACAAGTTACGAAACACCCTGTATATGTTAAGTCTTAATGAAATATCAACGGAATTATAAAGAATTATATTTATAATAGTCAATATTATAAAAAATAAAATTTCAAATTTGTATTAAAATTTTTACAAATACATATTATATTTTTAGAATTTTATTTATAAATATTTTCTAAAAATATAATGTATATTCAACACAAAGCAGCTAATTTTCGTACTGTATTTAAATCTCGAACAAGCATTTGAACCGTCTGTTTAGTTCGTGGCTGAACATCTGAAATAGATGAATCTTCGGGATCCATAGCTTCTAAAGCTACAAACATATATATAATAAGATATTTAGAAGATTATTAATATATATAATTTATATATAAAATTATTAATTTTTATTTAGATTATTTAATTTTTTTTAGCAATATATAGAATTTTTTAACAAAATTTACCACAAACTTCTGCCTCAATAAATGTTAATTTTGCATCTATATGATGTTGAAAATGTTCTATATGTTCTAATAACCGCATTCGACATTCTCCTGCATCAATTGGCGCTTCTGGTTGTGGTATAAAAGGTTGCAATGGAGCTGATATTTCGTGTTCACTAAGTTCTTCGTGCATATGATTTGCTGATATAGTTGAGGTTGATACATTATTCTCAGACATATTTGATTGGTTGGTTAGGAAGTCTATATATAAAAAATATATTATATTTACAAATGACAAATCTATATAAAAATACAATGTACAAAATATAATCTTGTTATAAATAAAAATTTTTATATTTACCTGTATTTGTTTTCATCTCTGAATTCGTATATTTTCCTTCTGAAGCATCATTTTTTGTAAGTGCATCAAGAAGTATATGACTTTTACTTTGATGTATAAGATCTTTTTTACCATTAATTTTTGGTTCATCCGAAGTTATATTATCTTCCTCTAATATCTTCATTAATTCTGAATCTGAGGCTATTGATTTTTCATCCTGATCATCTTTTAAATTGAATTTTGTTTCTGTTTTTACTTCAATTTGTTGAGCACCTTCACTTGTATCTATGCAATCTTTTCCTGATTTCATAATCTCCATTATTGGTATTGGCGTCACATTTGGTTTTGGTACTTCTGTTTTTTCCCAATTCTTGGCCCAAAGGTATAACTTTGGATGATCTTTTTTTCTATCAAACAAATTTTATTATTATTGATTTTCTATATATTCCAATTAGATTGTAGTGTTTGTAATACTTACTGAGCTACATTAATCTTTACTCTTAAACTGTGCAAAACCTGCTGTATCTGTAAAAGAGCAGTAACTAAATCATAAGAACGTTTTAACATAGCCGTCCTTTGATTAACTCGATGTTGATTTTTTGTTCGATTAGATAATGTTGGTAATTTTCCCTCTTTTATCCAATCTTGATCATGAAAATATTTTTTAGATAACCGTTGCCGGTATGGATTCTGACAAATAAAACAAACATATTTTTCAGGTACATCCTTTTCTTTTTCTATTGCATTACAGTGACCATGTTGCCAACACAAACAAAGATCGCACTGAATCATTAAACCATCTTCTTCCATAAACCCACAAGTACAATTTATTATTTCTTCTCTACGAAGTTGTTCCACTTTTACCATTTCACCATTAATCATCATCATAACTCCTTCATTCTCTACAAAAATATAATACTTAAATCACCTCATAAAAAAAATAAGTAGCTTTTATTATTTAAGACAATTCATAGATATATTTTTAAAATTAATTATATATTTTTTAAATTAAAGAAAAAGCATGAAATAAATATCAAAATATAAAATATGAAAGTTCTCTGCAATATCGAAACCTAAAATTAATATAAGTTTAACATAAAATAAAGCAAAACATTAAAAAAATAAACGATATACCTTCCCCATCATTAGTATCTTTTTTATCAATATTCCCTTTCAAGGGATCATCTTTTTCGACACGCGAATCGTTTAGTTGACCTAAAGAAAAATAAAATAATAATAAAACAGTAGAATGTTATTTTTATTACATTGAAATAAACCAATGTATAATAGCAAAATTAAAAAATAACATTCAATATAAAATTATTCGTATTTAAAAACTAAAGTAGTCCAAATATAACTTACTACTTGTAGAGTTGGAAACAATACAAATAATACATTAAATGGTATCTAGGTTTAGACCGATGCACGCCAGGATATATAATTCTAGATGAAACAAAGGTAGATAAGCTAAAATTAAGAGGGAAAAGGCGTTAAAATAAGAACAAAAGATATGAAAGCTAGAAGACCAAGTACAGATTTATAAGATGCTACAGGAGACTACTTGAATACTTAACAAAGAAAGGCAATAGAGATAGCCAAAAATTGATAGCGAAGACAAGAGGTGGCAATGTAGAAGAATACAATAAATACTGGTTGAAGGAGGAAGGGAGGAGATGCAAGTTATGTGAGCAATAATTTGGTATACTAAAACACCTAATAGGAGAAAGTTGAAAGATGTAAGCATAGCGTAGAACAAGTACATGTAAAAAAATAGTCAAGTGGTTAAGGGCGGTAGACAAAAGTAAAATAGCAAAAGAGAAGGAAGGTAGAATAAGGTAATAATAGGTTAGATAATAGTGATAGCAAATGTATGTGCGCAGGTGTGGAAGAATGTGTATGATCGTGAGAAACATATGTTAACCAAGTCTATTTCTTGGCCTTAAAGGCTGCAATTAATAAATTATTATTATAACTTACTACTTTGACTATTTTCGTCACTTCTTGAATCTGATTTTCTACGACTATATCTATATATGAGTGAATTTGATCCTCCCCCTTCTATGTCCATATTACTATCATCTAAATCGCCATATTCATCTGAAAATTCTTGAACGCCTATTAAAAAATAATATTTTGTACTTTTAATTTATTAAAATGGTCAAAATATAATGGATAAATTATTACCATGTCGTTTTTTACCCCTGTTTGATGCATCAGAGCTGTATTCTGATAATTGTCGTTTTCTTTGACCTTTCATTTTATCGATGTGAATAGCTTCATCTACAGATTTTGATCTATCAATTCGCTGTGCTTCTGAAGACAAGGCTGGTCTTATTGGAAGAAGTGTCTTAATACCACTTTGTGTTTTTTCTTCTCTAATTTTCATATCAAATAATGTTCCAGGTGACATTGCGCATGTATCTTCTCGTTTTTTCTCAGTTTCATCATCCATATCTAAACTATGATTAGAATTCGGGGACATTCTTTCTATTTTAATATCTTCTGTTTGTATATCATTGCTTTTTTCTATTTGGTCTGCTTCATCCTCCGTTTCTACTGCTGTCGGTATAGTTGTTGGTGATGTAGGTTGAGCATTTGTTACAGGTGATGAAACATATGATTTATCTTGAATAAATTTTCTCTTTGAAAATTTATTACACTTCTCTAATAAATTATTTGATTTTTTTGGAATAATATCTTCAACAGATTCTCCAATTGTTCTTGCATAAGCTAAATCTGCAACATTTGGTGTACATCCCAAAAATTTTGAATATTCCGGATGATAATGCTTTATATGCATTTGTAAAAGATTTTCCTTTCTAAATGTTTTACTACATCCTTGTTTTGGACATTTATAAGCACTGTCTTCCATTTCTACTCGAAGTCCACCAATAAAGACAGCTGTTAATAAATACTTTAATTAACAATAATCTAGTTTATGCATTTATTTACAAAAATATATTTAATTTAATTAATAATTTAGTTAATTAATAACATGTAACATAACATTTATTCATCCAATATAATACTTACAATAAATTAATCCTAATATAGGTAAGCATAAAAAAGTAAACTAAATAAAATATGACAAAGAATGTAAGAATAAAATTAAAAAATGGAAGCATACCACCATCTTTAATAGCTGTATTTGATGTAGATACTAAAGTTGTAACTGGTATACTGGAGGAAACAGGTAAGGAATTTTCAATTACTGTTGCCTTTGTTTTAGGTAATAAAGTTTTAATTTTTTTGGGAGTATCCATAACAATATCTTGTTTTACTTTTTGATTTTTTTTTTTCCGATGAATACAAAAATCAAATTTTTCTGGATCAAAATCAAATTGTCCTTGATTTTCCATAAATGCTCTAATATCGTTTTTTGATCTAAACTTTTTCCCACTGGATTTATGAAGAAATAAGACATCCCACTTTCCAGCTGACGTCCCAGCTTTTCTCTGAGTAAAATGTTTTTGCCATCCAGGTGGCAATCTTTTGTCTGCAACTATTATTGACCGACGTGGACCTAAAAATCAGACAATAAATAATATACGATTTTAAATATTATACTGTATAAAAAATAACACATAGAATAAAAATAATGAACTTTAGTAAAATTTTCATTTGTTCTAACATACCATCATTTCCATCGACTATATAAGATTCAGTTCCTAGAGGTTCTCCATCTATCCATTCAGGACCGACATCTTCTACCTGCTCTATATCATTTTTAGGTACTTCTTTCTTATTTTTTTTAGTATGAGCTTTTATTCTAGATACATTAGTATCAAATCCACGTAATAAATCTGTGCCTGGATCATAACAAGGCCCAAATAAAGTTCCATCCAAATCAATTTTGCTTTCTGAAAAGCATTCTACATTTTCATTAACTATAATTTCTTCTTTTTTTGTTAATTTATCTGTTTCAGTTTTTGAACGTTTTCTATAATGTGTATGAAATAATTCCATCACTGTATGCTTCCTTTTTTTATCTCTTCTTTCTTGTTTGCTTCCAATATATTCTTCAGTCTGACCAGATTGCTATTAGAAATAACACAATAAAATTTCATTTTCTTCATCTACTATAATACTACTGTTAAATTCATGATTTTTCTGATGCTAAGTTAATTTTTTTTTTTTATGATAATATAAAATTCTAATTCACATAAATGAAAAAAAATTTGTATTGTGAAATTTTAATTTATATTACATATTTAGATAATAAATGTTAAACTTATATATTTCATATTTATACAAAATTATTATGTATTGACTTTGAAGATAAAAATATTTTTTCAACAATTACTGCCTTTTTCAATATGTGAACGAATAAAGCAAACAAAAAATCAATTTACTGCACATTTTTTTATTAATAATAATAAGAAAGTAAATAAACTAATTGAATTTTATATTAATGATAATACAACATAACCTTACTATAAATACTGTACCTTTGTAGCTGTTGTAGCGATTTTTGTCATTTTTGACGATTTAATTGTCTTCGTATATCCATCATCAAATAATACATCATATCTGTCTGTAAAAGTAATCTTAAATTAAAGAAACACCATTTCTTAAATTAGAATGATATCGCATCACGAAACGTCAAACTAACAATAGGTACATAATTCCCGTAAGTACATAGTTAAGGTTAGATCACTTACCGTTTCCTAAGACGGCATTTACTTTAGCTGGATATTTTCTACCGTCAGCCCATGTAGCAAGTATCCTTTCCCCCACTGAAAAGTCTCTCATTTTTGTTTCCCTATGAGATTTAAATTTATTTATTATCATACTTGAAAAAATATAATTGGTTATTACGATAATTAGATACAAATAATAAAATAATTTCTCATATAAATAACAATTTTGTTTTGATAAACACTGTGTATGTGTGTGTGTGTGTATATTTATAAAACTAATATAAAAAAATAAATGTAATTCATTTCATATTCTTAAGTTTATATAATACTAATTACATATTTTATTATGTTTTATTACTTACTGTTATGTTCTATTGAAAAGAAAAAGAAAAAAAAAACGAAACGAAAAATTAAAAAATAATACTAGCATAGCATTAGTATATGCATATCTTTAAAAAATTTTTGTGAATAAAAGTTTATGCCAGAATGTATTCTGAATCTATTTCAAATATATTACCTTTTACAAATGTGAACTGCAAGTTGATATTTAAATGCAAAATAAGAAACTTGAAGTGTGTAAAATATGTGTGTACTTATAATGCACGCATAATTTTTAACATTAAAATAGCATTTTTTTTTTTTTATTAAGCCACAAATTTTTTTTGTAGGTACTAAGATCATGTAGAACATCTATAATTTAAAATTATATGAAAATGTATAATTTTACATGAAAAGATAAGAGAAAATTCAAAAAAATTTATTATTGATATTATAAAAAATAAAATAATTTAATATTTCAGCATGATTGCACTAAGAAATACTATAAATTACATAAATTTTTTCAATCTAATTAATAATTATTCAATATCCACTTACGAAGATGATAGATTCCAGGTTTGTTCACTTTAAAAAAGAATGGTAAGTAACATAAAATATACGTTATATAATAAATCAAGTCAAATATTATTCATGTAAACATTTTTTATTTCTGTACCTATTAATTCATATTATTTTATTATATATTCAATAAAATATCTTTACTTACTTTGATTGTGTTTGCAATACACGTAATCTTGAACTATCCATAGGTATCCATTCATCAAATTTTGAACTCCATTTATCAAAACGAATCAATACTTCTCGTTCGTCCCAATCAGTTTCAACTACTTTTGCTGAATACCTAATATAACATGAAATAATCACTCATATCATTTTTCAACATTTACTATAATAACTATACTATACTTTTATTATAATAATTATATATAATTATCTCATTATCATATTTTTACAACTGTTTTTACAAATATTTACCATTTTTCATTAAAATCTTTTGCTTCTAATTTAGCTCCAGGAAAAAATTTTAATCCTCCCCGATTAAAAATTTTTGGTTTTAATTCTTCCGGTTTATCAAAAACTTTTTCATCTTCCATTTTCACTTTCAGTTCTTCCTCTTTAATAACTAAATCTTTCTGTATATGTTTTATTGCTATGTTAGATTCAACAATACCTAACTGCACCGCCATAGTATTCACTTCTATTTCTGAATTTTTATTTATTTCCCGTGTCACAGGATAAGTATTTTCTTCTTTTATATTTAAATTCTTACATCCATTATCAACTAATTCTGTTGAATCTAGTAAATTAGAGGAATCAACTGATAACTTTGGTTGAGACATACATGTTTCTTTATCAGATTTTAATGTCTTTAAACCAGAACTCATTGGAGAAATAGACTGTTCTAAATTCAGAATTTCAGAATTAATAAGATCTAAATCTTCCTGTGCATAAGAAGTTGATGATTTCACAGACATAATCACAGGATCTGCAAAAAAATAAATACTACATAAGTGAAAAATTTAAAGAAATATTTTTTAAAAACAATAGTGTAGTCAATAATAATAATTTTATTATATTTATTTATGAATCTATATAATATTACTTTTAACACTTTAATAATTTATCATCACAAAAATATAACTATATAATATATTACGTTATAATAATATTAATATATATAATAATATTACGTTGATATTAAAAGTCAATAATATATTGTTTAGAAGGAACATAACAGAATTAATAACAATATACTTTTTCATTAGAATTCAAATCAAAGTTTTCAGTCACTTGAAAACGAGAGATTGTTAGACACTTCATTAATTTTGTATTTTCAAGCGAAAATATTTTTAAAATTAAGATCATGTTAAAACTTATCTTTTGTAGTGAAAAGCTTTCATTTATTTTCTTAGTATAAGTAATTAACAAATATTAAACAGCTAATTATTTTGAGGAATATTTTCCAAAAATGTAATATACAGTTATATAAAGATCAATAATATAAAAAAAATATTTTATAATTTATTTTTATTTTTTTAAATTTTAAATATAATAATTAACAATGTAAATAAAACACAATTATTTTTTAAAAATGTTTATTATGTTTAGAATAAATCCTGTGATGAAGAAGAATTCTTGTATAATATAGACTCTATGCTCTTTATTTAAATAAAATTGAAATTTTTCGATGAATTATTATTATTATTTTCAAATGTTTGACTGTTTGTTTCTATTTAAGATATTAACTAAATATAAATACATTTATATAGAGAATGGTCCACGCAATTGTTTCAGGTTATAATTATCAATATACTTTTAATATAAAAATATTAAAACAGAAAGATGACTGGTTTAAAGATTATTATATTTGTAGGACCAGATCTTTTTAGGGCATGTGTAATTAAGTGCATTATTTTTTTAAATAAAAATACATATTTTTTCTACAAAAATATATCTCACTGACTTAAGTCTGGATAGATTTGGTCTTTTGATTTTATATATATTTGTACATGTATAAAATAAAAAGATAATACATAAGAAGTAGCATAATTGATATATAGATATCTTTTTTTAAAAAAAGCTGATTCTTTCCTTAAAAAGAAAAAGCTTAATATATATATATTAGTACATATATTTTACCTACCAAATATTATATATAATTATCAAACAATATATTTAAAATCAAGAAGATTTATAAGTAAGCTGTATCTTTTAAATATATGAATTTTCAAAATTATTTTATTTTATATTTTTTTAATCTATTATCTCATCTGACATTATTTGCTAAATTTTGTCTCAATCGATCCAATTGAAAATCAATGTTACATGGAAGTACACAGAAATTATATCTTTGTCTTCAAATAATTTATCAAAGGTTTTCAATCAGTTACCAAACGTTTGTTTATCTTTAATAGTCTTGTTACTTCATATACTGATATGTTTTTCTTGCAATAAAACAATACCAATTATTACATTTTAAAAACTGTGTTCTTATTTTTACAGTTTATTTTATAACACATCTCTGAATAACTGACATTATATTTACAATATATTCAGTTATTTGAATTTGTTATATTATTTGAATTTACAAATATTTTTGTAATGTCATACAATCATGATGATACGTATAATTAACAAAATAGCTACTTTTTTATTGTTAATATTTATATATAATTTATGTATAAATAGTACATACATATTATATATATATTATATATCTACAATTACATATATAGTATAATTTTTATATTTTTAACTCTTCATATATTGACTTATATATTAAATAAAGGAAGAAATTTAAAAATAAACAAAACAAGTTTATAGTAAAAAAATTTTAAAATAAACAAAACAAGCTTATAGTGTGAATGATGGTGTGAATTGAACTAAAAAAAACATTAAAAGAGAACATATGTAAACTAAAATTTTTAAAGTGTAAAATTTTCTTATTTGGCAGTATTTAGCAAAAAAGAATTGGCAATAAGTAATAAATAACAAATGATACACACCCGGATGATTGTCATAGTCTGTAAAAACCGATGGAACACTGCCTTTGCGTAGAATAAATTTATGCCCTTTTACAGCCTCGTAATCGGCTCGTTTAAAATGCTTGTGACAAATAACCTGACCTGGTGAAGGTTTAAAAGTCGTTTCGAATCCACCACTAGTTAACCACTTGTTTCTCAAAGTAACATCTTTTGGAAATTTGTGAAGCGGTAACCCTTTAGCACGCGCATCTTGCACATCAGCTTCACAGCTACGTACGCAGCATTTGCGCGCCATTCTCATCGTCGTTACAATCGATATTCTTTTACATGCGACCGCGCTATACGCTGTCGCTTCATTTACGTGCTACATAGCAACGTACCACAAAAAAACATTGCCTAAAGTATTCGTAAATTTGAACACAAAATAAGTAATTGTATACCAACCACTTTGACACGCACCCTTTAACGTTCGCAAAAACACTGAACTAGCTCAATTACGTATGACATGATCCACTAATCGATCTGCACTTTTTGAAGAACATCGAATATATATGCGTTGCTTATTAAATAAATTTATCAATATGTGGCGCCCCCTTCTAATTTCCATGAATATTCGTAGTAATATAAAACAATGTTTGTGAGTCACTACTTAAAATATTTATTTAAAATACAATATTAATTAGAAAAATTATTGAAATCTTGGTAAATACAAAAGTTGTTTTAGGTATCTTTTTCATGAAAATATAATATTAAGTATATGGTAATAACGTAAAAATATGATGATGTATAAATACATGTGATGTAAAAAATACATAGTGATGTAAAGCTGTATAACATAAAAAAAAAACATGTCTCAAATTAATTAAGTAATATATTAGATATATCTTGCATTATATCAATAAATTAACCAATAAAATCACATTATTTTTGCTTTTAGTTGCATTGAGAATGCTGCCTAAAAATAAGTCACGTGATTTCCTTTTACCTTCCTTTCCTGTTCTTCTTTCCTGTTAACTGGATCAGCGTAAGCTAGAGTGCTTGTTCTCTTTTATTGAGCTAAGGCTTTATCGGCGACTTGCACCATTTTATCATCTCATCTAACTTCTATATAAATTATACAAACAACAAACATGAATACGAAAGCAGAACTGGCTTGCGTTTATTCAACATTAATTCTTGTTGATGATGATGTTGCTGTAACTGTAAGTATCAATCCACACACGTGATTTCTTAATATGATAAAAAATTAAGATATCATTCACTTTATTATCAAATGAATAAAATTATAGGAATGTAGTGTATTTAATATTTTAAATATTGGTTTAGTACATTATTTTATTATTTTTTAAATATTTGTTTAGGGAGAGAAAATTCAAACAATTTTAAAAGCTGCCAATGTTGATGTTGAATCATATTGGCCTGGACTTTTTGCCAAGGCTTTAGAAGGTGTCAACATAAAAGAACTCATAACAAAAATTGGATCAGGAGTTGGAAGTGCACCTGCAGGTTGTAAAAATAGTATTTTCTAAAAGTACATCATATTCTGATTTAAAATAATATATTTAAAAAAGTTTATCTATATATTAGCATTCTTTAAATATAATAATTATAAAACAATATACATTTTAGAATAATAACACTAATATATAACACTAATAGCAACAATAGTTATTTCTTGACTATACTATAAAATATGATCATTTAACTTTACTATTTTACATATTAAGTATTACACGACAATAGAGTGTCGACACGTTATAATATATAATTTTTTTCTTTTTTTTTGATAAGTTTTTAATGTAATTATAATATTTAACTAGTTTTGATAATATACTCTTTAATGAAAAATATCAAATATTTTGAGAACTAAAAGTTATACATCTAAAAAATGTTATAAATACGTTATATTTTATTTTAACATCATATTGACTCATTCATAGAGTCAAATCATTGACAACAAGCAGATAACCTAAAATTGAAGAATTAAAAGTTTAGGTCAGAGAATTACATATAAAAAAAAAGCATAAAATCAGCTTTGACAAAGTTGTATCATATCACTGTATCATCGTAGTAAATTGCTAATCTAGGATTTATATAACGTAGATTAATATCAATTTTTAAATTTCAAGAAACAAATTATCACTTTCATTAGCTTAACTCGTTGAATGGAATTATGAATAAAGTCAACTTTTATAGAGCTTTTGGTTCTATTTTATAAATATATAACATCTATACACAGATCCAAATATATACATTCACAAAGATACAAATCCTCTACATCCACCGTTCTACATAAACTTATATATTAGAGCGGTCAGCAAAGAAGGAAAAAGAAAAAGTATTAGAAAATTATGAATCATATGATATTGCTATACGATATTGATATTTCTATACGACAACATTGCAAATAATTTTGTTGTGTACTTATTTACGTTATATAATTATGAAATTATATTTTTATATAATAAGATTATTTTTTATTATCATTTAAAGCACCAACATCAGCAGTTGCACCTACTAGTACAGAAAGTGCACCTAAGGAAGAGAAAAAGAAAGAAGAACCTGATGAACCAGAATCTGATGAAGATATGGGCTTTGGTATGTAATACATTTATAATTAATATATCACTGTAACAGTTGGATTGTGACATTCAATGATTATTATCATGTATTAGCTACTGATATCATGTATGATGACATGAAATAATGAGAATATTATTTCCTAATTGCCATATTTTGCAATAAAATAAAACTTGTTTTAATAAACATTTTTCTTTTACAGGATTGTTTGACTAAACATAAGGATCACAATGTATTGGTCAATCCATTTTATTTGTACAGTTATATTGTACAATAAATAAAATATTTTTAAATTAAACTTTATTGCAAAGCCCATTTCATTATAATTTTTATTCATGACAAACTTACAATTATATTTTATATGTATTTTTTTAACAATTGTAAAATGTTTTCATTGTGTATATAATTCTTTTATTCTGTCTTAGAAGTGACTCCTATTTTTGAGAAAATTATACATCATCTGTGTTATACTTCTAATTTTTCCTGGTTTTTATACGTTTTGACTATATAAACAAAGTTTCATATTGTAACTGATTCCTCTTACAACTTTTTAATTTTTTTGAATAATTTTTTTAATATAAAATGGTTGCTCTTTTACTAATTATATATGAATTTATATCCATTTCACATGAATTTGTTTTACACCAATGAAACTCGCGTAAATAGAGTTTGACATCAGATTTAGTTAATTTATTTATAACGTCACTTGCGTATTAATTTATAAATATTGCGCAATTTCAAATATTTTTAACAATAAATGATATATGTGAAACGTTGAACATTTGTCTCATTAAATATCATCGTACTATGAAGAAAATACAAGGTTCATTTGACCTTAAAATTTCTTCTATCACTCGACCAGCAAAAATATAATTTGCTTCTTTGTATCAAATTGCAAAAATATTCCTTTAGTTTTTGCGAGATAAAATCTGTATATATGCTTATATTTTTCATTAAATCTTCATGAAATATATTAAATAAATAATAAAGTTTTGTTGTTATTATAAAATTGATAGGTAAACATAGTTTATAGAAAAACTTTGAATAATTTAATTAATAAGCGTAATTTTTAACTAATAAATAATACAATTTATAATGTATAATACTGCATAATTATAATAAAATTTGAACATGTAAGTAAATGAGAAAATAATTTTAAAAAATAGTTAGAAATTATTTTAAAATTAAAGAATATTTTATAAAGTATAAATCACTTATACTTAAAATCATATTTTAGAATTTTAATTTACTATATAAAAAAGAACTATCGTAAGTCTGTAAAACAGATAGAATTCTTTGTGATATGTAATGAAATTATTTCAGTTAGTTGTTTGCTTCATATTTCAGTACTAAAAATTTAAACATTGCAATGGATTTCAAAAATCATATCTCTAGCGCATTTACTACTTGCTCGCTTTACTTGATATAGTTCTCCAATTCATTGCTATTTAAGCATAAAATGCGTTAAAGAAAACAGATTTCGATACAAGAAATCAATATCTAAAACTATTTCATTTTGTATTATGTATCTATCTATGTTTTAATATTTATACATATTTTAGATATATCATTTATACTTCATTGTTTATACTTTAGTAATTTTTAATTAACTAAATTATTTTTCAAAATTATTTTGATTGGCCATTGGCGATTGGTCACCATGTAGCTATCGATCGAGATGAAATTTGAAAGGCAATATGAAGGATATGAAAATATATCTTGGCTCCGAGAATTCATCTGTTTGGAAAGTAGATTCTTCAATTTTCGGAATTTATTACATGTAAAATAAGAACGAGCAATTAGCAGTTTGCGTTAGGCCTGATGCAGACGAACAATTTGCGGCAAACTATCGCAATAGCGATTATTTTGAAAGAACAGAGATATAATATTCTGTTATCCTTCTTTTTCTTTTTATAAAAATTATTGTGTCTTTGTTCTTTCTAAGAACCGTCTCCATTCATTTGCATCGGGCCTAATTCAGGCCTGATAGAATAACATCATACAAATGCAACTCTTAATAAGAACAAATACATATGTAAACATCTGTCTCCGAAATAGCAGCTCGGGAACACTATCACCATGTAATCCTGATCTAATTTTTATACCATTTCTTTCGTTTCTTTTATACATTAAATTATCGTAAAATTATTTTCCAAATGGTTAAATTCTCGAATTCAGCAAACATCTTAGAAAAAGGGAAAGGATCATTTGGAATAATATTCTTATTTTATACGCAGATTTGATTCAGCTAATTGGGCTGTAGTTCTGAAAAGTCCTGGTGAGAGACGGATCGTGAAATTTAAAAGGATTGTAGAAGAGCGGCGAAGACTTATACAAATATAAAATTTTAGTTTTTGAGATATTAGAGAATTAAAAAATACATTAAATTTTGTGTATATAATTACTAATATATAGACTAATGTAATCATAAAAATTCGAGAAATCCTAATATTTCATCGTTTAATCGTAATGATTAAATTTCAATAGAATGGCAAAAAAGATTATACAGCAAATTTTAAGATATCATTGAAAAAAAAGAAAATTTGAATTTTCTAGACTATGGTGGATTCAGTGATCCATCGTGAAAAAAATTCTCGATATTTTTAAAGACATTTGAATTTTTTACAATTTTCGAGAGAAGTTTTCTTACTTTCTCACTTGTTATATAATGTAAAAATATCTTTAAAAAAACAAATTGAGCACAATCAAAGTGAAAGCCTTATATTTTAAAATAAGTTTAAGTATGTGATTTTTTTACAAAATTATAATAAGACTTGTATTTTTAATTATTTATTATTTAAGTAAAAATTTGTTCAAATTACCTGGGTGCAAGTATTTGACATTTCGGATCTGAATCGGATCAGATAATTTTGATCAAGTTTTGATCGAGCGAATACCTAACAATAAGAAACAAGGCACAACCGTACAACCGCTTATTTCATGGACATTAGTTTAATCATTTCATGGACGGAACTGATCGGAGGAACAGTAACAAAAATGTGGCAACCATGTCAAATTTTTAGATCACGTTTGACAACTATGCTTTCCTTTTAACTCGTTTTTCATTTGTCATTCTACACGATGACAATCGTGACGAAGGCAATCGCAAAGAGAATGAGAATGAGTAGTTCTCAATGAGAATATATCATTTTGAATTCATATAAAATTTTAATAAAGTGTGTTAAAATATGTCATTAAATTCTTGACAAAATTGTAAAGAAATTTCGTATATAGAATGTGATGATAGAGGCATAAATACATAGAAGGTGTAGAGCTCTATTCCTAAAGCAAATAAGGCTGCTGTCTATGAAATAAGGCTATGCTAAACAAAATGATTAGCAGGAGAGACTGAAAAGCAATTCGATGCGAGATCTCGAACGATTTGGACGAACTGCAACTCTTTCGAATATTCGTCAATTATGAATTTATCTTACAGAATCATTTTACAAATCTATTTTATATTTTATAATTCTCATACAATGAATGCCAGATCATTGTATTCGTCTGACTTATTGTCTATAGACTGTTACCCAAATAATATCGTCGCTTTTCGTAAATATAATTCTTTTTTCAACGAATCTTCATGATAAAAATATTGCATTTAAAAACAGTTACAAATGTACAATAATAAATGTTAAAGACTACGTATTGTTGATGACGTGAACGTGCTCCAGAGTTAGCTTGTCAAATTAGAGATTTTTTACATCTTTCGCATCTTTCACATATAGACAATTTAAAGATTTACAATCAGATCCCCCATAAATCTTTATTTTAATTTTGTGGAGTTCTTTCCTTTAGAAGGACAGAAAATTATAATTATTATAACATTATAACATTGTAACAGTTATAAATAGAAACAAAACACGATGAATCTGTAATATTATAGTGTATTAGTACGTTATATCATTTATTCATGATTCAATATTCTTCAATATTCTTCATAAAAAATGTTATACATGTACCACGTGAAGGAAATCTCCGTGGAGGAATTTCTTTCTCATAGTGTAAGCAAATGTTAGCCACGCCGCCCGTCGGCGTGGGAAAACTTCCTTGGCTATTCGGTAGAAGAGGCCACTCGAGATTAAGGACCATGGGCCGATTCCAATGTTTATGACCGACG